ACTTTGATGAAAGACTGTTATTATGATGATCAAAACATTAATCCTTATCTATATTAAACTATAAATTTAAAATAAAACTGAATTCACCTTTACAGACCCACTGCTGCTAAAAGCAGCAGAGCTCTCAAAGTGCACCAGGAATTCACAGACACCCAGGTTAGGTTGTGAACATGGGCCATCAGTTCCTCAGAGAAAAGCGGTCTTTCAAACCTTTTAAACCCTTTCAAATGGACGCGCCACCATCGAGAACCCTCCCCACCTCCTCTCCGCTGAGCTCTGACTGGCGGTTTGCTGTGACTACTCTCTCTTAGCACCAGAAACCTCCACTTGAACTAAAACTACAACTTAAGCAACAGCCTCCTCCACCTTCTGTAGGTATTTTCTTTTCCATGAAATATAGAAGGATAATACCATCCTTTTAGATCACAAAGGGACAGCGTATCAGTGAAGGGACAGACAGATTCTACCGATCTCGATCTATGATGAACCAAAACAACAACTGTTCACATTCGCAAACAAAGAGTTGTCTTCTTTTCATTTAAGCAGTGGGTACAGAGGTGTTGATGCTGCAGAGGCTGGCCTAGGCCTACAGCAAAACGATGGGACAGCTGTCACAGCTACCTGAGTTAGCTGGCAATAGACAGGGGATAGGCAGATTCTGACCTCAGCCCATAACGAAACAACGAAACACCTGTTACAATAAACACACCAACAATAGATCCTTTTTTTCATTTCCTTCATTTCTGAAAGTCTTTTCTCGTCGTGATCGTTTTGTTGTTCCTTTAATGTGGTTGTTTAGGGATTAGGATTATCGAGCAGGCTGGGCTCAGTGGTATGATCAAACGGGCCGGGCTTTCACTCCGCTCCGTGCAACAGCACAGGCCTTCCCTCCCCATGTTTACCCTCTCTATTGTGTCTGGTAATCGATACCGCTGCCCTACACCATGAAGCAGGGGTTCCGGAATGGGAACAATGGCCGTCGCTCTCTATTGTCCCTCTGTGTTTGCCAAGGGCAGAGCACTGACCGGAATTTGCTCCTGCTCCGACTCCAATGGTGAAAGAAAAAAATGAAGAGTTGATGAAGAGGAGGAAAAAGGACATGAAGAAGAAGAAGAAGAAGAAACACAAGCGACAGGTAAAATGGCCCAGCCAAGCATCGTAGCTGTGCAGCCTAGCAGCGTAGATTATCTCGGCAGTACTGTATCTGTGGCGACCATTCCACTGTTTATCCTGTGGGCATGTCTCTTTCTGTTCAAGGCCGCTTTCAGACGAACCACTCAACTTTGGGTGCTTTCAATCTCTCTGTATTCCTCTCACTCCCCCTCTGCCCTCATCCATTTCACTCTTTATCCCTCTCTCCTCCCTCTCAATCTCCTGCCATCCGTGTTACGCATAAAAGCCTTCGAAAGAGGGTGACAGAGTGTATCTGTTTCCCCGCCCCAAGACTGGTAAAAACAGCATGAGATGGTTAGTAAAGGGAAGGTCACACTGAGGTGAGGTTCTGCTGTTTAATTTAGACTTTGCAGAAGGTCTCTGGGAGAAAATTATTTTACCGTTTGCAGCTGAGCCTATGAGAAGACAAATCCTTCAGTCCTCTATGACCTCATCGTTTTGGAATTCTTCTTAAATGTTATTCTTTTCTGGCTTTTTATTGCCCGATCACTGATTTCACTGCTACGGTACTGTTTCAATGAAGCAAAAGCATTGCTTTTTTATTCTTACATAGCACCAAGAGCTTTCCAGTCACAAAAATGAATGTTTTATTAATCTATATGTAATAAATCATCTATATTTCTTAACTGAGGAAGCAATTTTAATCTCAGTATGTCTACCTTGTAAAATGATGATTGATGGTATTACAAGTCTTGGCAGTTAAAAAATGAGCAGTTACATATAACTCCTGGGTCTCTCTGTCTGTCTCTTTCTCTCTCTCGCTCATACGCACACACACAGACACACACACACAGCTGTGGGCTCCACAGAGAGAGGCACACCTGGCCAGTGAAGTGATGTTGTTCTGTCTTGGCGTGTGCGGTGGCCAGCCACCAAATGCTCTGCTCTCACTCAGGACCCAGACACACACACACACACACACACACACACACACACACACCATATACACACACACACACCATACACACACACACACAACATATACACACACACAAACACACACACAACATATACACATACATACACACACACACACACATCATATACACACACACGCGCCATATACACACACACACATCATATACACACACACACAAACACACAGACCATATACACATACATACACACACATCATATACCCACACACACGCGCCATATACACACACACACACACATCATATACACACACAACACACACGCACACACACCATATACAAACACACACACAGACATACAAACACAAAACACATTCACAGACATATGTGAAAACACAAGCATACAAACACACAGGGCATCTCAGCCCAGCCCTTCTCTCATCACCCAAATACGCACTTAGAGCCCTGGTCTCCATCCTCCCCTCCCCTCAGACTCCCAGCTGATTTCCATGGGCTTTTCAGCGCAGATTTCCAGGCCCACTGGACTGGGCTCTGCTGCAGGGCTGTCCGGAATCAGCAGACCTCCATGGCTCTGAGCCGACTGATCTAAACTCAGCCCCACAGCTGCCATGGATTCCACAGGAACGTTTCCAGGACGACGTGGGTGTTCACAACGCATCCGCCTGCATCACAACATCCAGACTATGAGCTCTCTGACTAACCAAACCGTCAGTTTCCACTGTGACTGTGGCAGTTTCCACTTTGACAGGTCCCACAATGAAGTGGATGCATGGAATGTAAAACCATATACGGCAACCAGGTCCGCCCGTGGAGCCAATCAGATTGGCTGAAAGTCTGAGCCAAAAAAGCAGACAAAGTTATCCAGACACCCTACCAAGGAATGAGTATTCTGGAGATGAGAGCCAGCTCGCAGGGTACAATATTTTCTCTCCTTTTTGTTGCCTGCAAAGATACTGCTCGAACAGAAGGAGGAATGAAGGAAAGAGGGAATAAAAACTACAAAGTATATGTTTTTCGGATGGTCCAGGACGCTGCCATTCTCACATTGAGCGTTCCTGTTCTGAAGTCGCTTTGCCTGTTTGCATTGCAGGAGCCTGGGTCAATTTGGGTGACTTGCAGAGCACACATTTTGCATACAGCGTATGGGTAATTCAGGATATTTTACTGAGGTGATTCAAGCTAAGCTCCTTGATCAAGGCTGCAGATAGGTCACCCTGCCTTGGATGCCTCTCTTCCCCTAAGACACCACTCACACGTCCTGTTGAGTCAAAGGCCCCGTTGTTTGACTCACCCTGGTGTCTTTCAGCACGTCCTGTGCTTTGAAAACAGTGGCTGAACAACGATTACTAGTTCAAAAACTGGCATGTTGTTGACAACAAAGAATGAGTGTTTTAGCCTCAGAAGTCTATTTTCTGACTTCCTCCTAAGGCGCACTCCCCACGTGTCATGACGTATTTTCCTGCAATATTTCACAGATGTGGAGCAGCTATCCTGCCTGTGAGGTTAACGAACAGAGGAGGACACAGTTCTGTGGAGGTTTCCACTCTTTGCTTTCATTTTAAGAGTATTTCTCCCAGTAAAATCAGGGAGTATTGGCTGAATTTGATTAATCGGCTTTATTGTTTTGCGTGGTTCATTCATGCTGATGAAAGCTCACTAGACTCCACGTGGTTCCTCACTAACACTTACGCTGCGTTTTGACCCTAAGACCATATTCTCATCACTGCCAAAGCAGTCGTTGTCCCACTTTCCTCAAGTCTTGTGTTTTTTTTTTTCTTTTCTGGATGAATATACATCGTTGTAGCTTTTGCAATTTATAGCTTTTGCATAGGCTTCTGGATTGCATTTAAACAACACTAGAACTGTTACAGAGATGAATCCTAAGGTGGCTAAACATTTATTGGATACACATGGAGACCAAAAGTTAAACTGCTAGCACTGTGCAAGTGTTTACTTTTTAATACTCCTCCCTGATGTTTCCCACTTCAGCCTAGCACTGCCAATGACCCCAGTACCACCCCCCTAAATACTAATATTACTCCACAAAAGTCTCACTGAATCTCCCCTGTGACAACCCCCCCCCCCCCCCCCCACCCACCCCACTGCTCCACAGAAAGCTGAGACCTTTTCATTACAGAACGGAAATCTTGTTGCCAGCCTGCTCACAGGTCCAGGGAGCTAGGAGCAGGGAGCGTGATCCACCCGGCACGGCTGGAATTTTTGCAATAACATGGAAATCCATCTCCATCACTGAGAGGGGAGGGGCGTGTGGGGGGGAGTGCCAGTGGTGCAGGGGGACCCAGGCCCAGTCCACCCCTCAACCTGGCCGCACTGGACAAACACGGTCAGGATCCCCGCATGTCACCATGGTGACCTGAGATGTTCACATGAGACATTCACTTCAGCCATATTGGACTACCACAGTCAGAATTCTGTGCATCGCCATGGCGATGTGAGCACAACGTCAGGAGGCCATGTTGGACAAGAACATTATACTCTGTCCAGAAGGTCAATACAACCTAATAATGTTATAAGGGTGTTTAACCAATGCAGATCATTATCAAAGATCATGGTTAGTTTATTGTTAGTCGATTGAATCATCGGTTTTAGCATTAAGCCATAACAAAAAATGAACTTACACCAGCCATTCTCAAATAAGACCAACAACCTAGCTAGAACTTATAGAGACAGAGAGAGAGGGAGGAGAGAGAGTGTGAAAGAGGGAGGGAGACAAAGAAAGAGAGCTGGTTGGCCTGAGTGCTCGTCTCTGTAACACCATATGGCAGTGATGACAGGGTTAATCGGCTCTATCCCTGACAGTAAGAGTGTGCATTGATGGTGTCCAAAGCGAGTGTGGAGGCTATATGTTTGTTTGTTTGTTTGTTTGTCTGTCTGTTTGATTGTTTGATTGTTTGCACATTGCAGGTGCCAGGCACAGTGGCCAAATGATAAAGCATGGGTCTTGTAAACCAATGATCACATGTTCAAACCCTGTCTGTGCTTTCACAAGGTTTTAGGGAGTACTATCCCTGAAAGTGGAGAAGTAATGACCATTTATTAGACTGTATAACAGGCATGATATCATGCTAAATGGAGATGTATCTGACCCTCCTGTAGTCTTTGGCTACAGTAATAACTGCACCATGTCTTTAAGAAGTCAATGTGAAAAGCCCACTCCAAGCATCTGTTCCTTGCTTTATTTAAAACAATTCTGAAAAAAAAAGAAATAAGCAGAGAGTGGTGACGTAGCTCTTGGAAGTCATTAGAAGACGAGCGTATGCTCAGCAACTTTATAAACAGAACAGCCGTACCACATCTGTAAAATATTCAAGAGCATATGTCAATGTATTTGGTGAAAAAAAGGTTTAAGGGGCAGGTATGAACATTTCATTTGCCAGCTACAATGCTCTTATTTTCAAAAAAAAAAAAAAAAAGTTCTCTGACTTGGATCCGTGGTTGTGCAACACCACTGTCAGACTACAGGATGTCATATATTAACGGAGTCAGGTGGGCCTTCATCTGCTCCCGCTGAGCCTCAAATCTGGCCCTGTGTTTTCCTATTAATACTTCCGTGCGCAGTCCATGGTGACTCATTACATAATGCATTTTACATGCGTGGATACGAGTCCAATACGCCTCCGTAATTGTGCAAGCAGAAGAAAATCCGTGACACTCCTGTGCGGTAATCACCATGAGATGTGGACGGCCGGTGTTTGTCACAGATAGGGGTTACTGCTGATGTTCTGTATAGTAAAGGCATACATGCTGCACATTAAGTGATTTCAAAAAGTAAAATAAACCCCCAAAATTCTCCCATTTACCTCTCCATTTCCCACATGAGGTGAGCATATAGGGTTATATTTATCAAAGCTTTTCGCCCATGTTTCACTTCTTTGCACATGCGATTCCAGTGACATGGTCTGTCAAACCACCTCCACCAGTCACATGCTCTCTTAGCCTTTTATGCACCAGTGAAACAGTTTTGTACTGTTTTTATTAAGTACTTAATGCTTTAGTAAAGTAGGCTCTAATGCTTTCATCAGGTAAAAAAGATGGTGACTGATTAAAGTCCAAAAATGGCTAAATAAATACGGGACAAAGTCTCTCATCATGCACCTGCAATCAAGTCTGCATGACACATTTTAGCAAAACTTTTCTCCAGGAGAAAGGACAGGAAGCTTCTCAGCGACAGAGGCCGACACACGAAAGCTGCCCCAGAGACATTAAATGCCAAAGATACAAAAACATATCAGATAAAAAAGATACCAAATATGAAAAATACCTAGAGATATTGTACAAATATTAAGACTTCAACTCTTTTTTTTCTTTGCCTGTACCACAGCTAAGCTGTAATCTTAATTTGAATAATGTTGTAATGTATTTAGCAGTTAGGTCAGTGGAGTTTAGGAGAAATGAGCTGGCATGCTGAAGAGCACATTCTTTTCCTGTTGTTTGGTATAACATCAGAAAAGGAAAACAAGGATTTAAAAAAAAAAAGCTTTGAAAAGGATGGATGAAAGGCGGACTTTGCTCTCTGAGCTCAAAGGACGGGACGGTGAAAAGAAAACAGGGACAGAGAGGGAGAAAGAGCGGGGAGATTAGGGACGAAAGAAACGGGCCCATGTAAGCAGAAGTGAAGTGGCAGACACTCGGGACGAGGAGAGGAGGAGGAGGGAGCGGCAAGCCTCGGCAATTACAGATTCACAATCGCCATGTCAAGAGTTCTTACCCTCACCGGGGTGAGCCAGGTGGGGGGAGAGGGGGGGGGGGGGGGGGGCGGGTGGGGGCGGGAGGGGGGGGGGGGGCCTGGCTGCACTCTGTGGTGATCATCCTGAGCCCCTTATCTGTGGTGTTAATCCGACCGCAGGCCTGGGAGCTGCTGCATACTGCAGCGCTGGAGGAGTGGGCAGCTTACCCATCACCACGGCGAAGGGAGCGATGGGAGTGTGCGCTATGCGCCTTCGGTTTGTGACATTGTACTGAGTGTACACTATGGTGACCTCAGTCTGTACCTATATGTATGGTACATGCACACTACTATGTGCTAACACATGCAGCAAGTGCACACCACTATATGCCAATACTTAGAGTGTGTGCATGCTACTCTGTGCCAATACTTGCAGTAAGTGCATACTACTAAGTGCTAATACATGCAGCAAGTGCACACCACTATATGCCAATACTTAGAGTGTGTGCATGCTACTCTGTGCCAATACTTGCAGTAAGTGCATACTACTAAGTGCTAATACATGCTGCAAGTGCACACTACTATATGCCAATACTTAGAGTGAGTGCACACTACTCTGTGCCAATACTTGCAGCAAGTGCACACTATTAAGTGCTAATACTTGCAGCAAGTGCATGCTATCTGTGCCAATACTTGCAGTGAGTGCACACTGTTCTGTACGAACACGGTGAGTCCACGTTACATTGTACCATGTAAGAGTGTATGGGGAACGCACACTTCTCTGTAATGTGAAATAACTCTGCATTTAGGACACACATCAACCTGTGGGGAAGTGATAACAGCTGTTACAGTACACAGCACCCTGACAGACATGGTGGCCAAATGGTAAGGCATCAGTCACAGAAACCAAAGATTACCAGTTTGAACCCTGCATATGTCTTTGATACTTCAAAAAAATCTTAGATTGACAACTGCAATTGTGTTCTTTTACAGCATTGTTTATTATGTACATGTCTATATCTTCAGTCAAATGCACTCAAGTAAAATCTAACCCAGGGGTGTCAAACTCCAGTCCTGGAGGGCCGCAGTGTCTGCGGGTTTTTGTTCTTTCCTTTCGATTGGCAGCCATTTTAGGCCTTGGAAACCAGGTGTGTGGACTCTTTAGCCAACCAGTCATTTTAATTAATCAATTAAGTGCTAAAACACACCAAAAACCAGCTACCACTGCAGCCCTCCAGGACTGCAGTTTGACACCCCTGATCTAACCATATCAATGACAACGGCAGGTGGAGAGCACCTTCAACCGGATCCCAGGAGTGTGGGATGTGTTAGGCTTCTCTAGTGATGACTGTGCATGAGTAGAAGTACAAAAAAGTAAAAAGTGTAAAACAGCAGTGGTACATTTGTCAGGTCCCTGTGTAAAACCACAGTGCAAAACCAGAGGTGCAGCTGTTTAGGTCCCTGTGTAGAGACGGATTACCACCACTATCTCCCCCTAAATGTCGCAGAACGCCCCAAACCCCCTCCCCCATCCCTCTCAACACCCATCCCACCTCAGTTACTGAGAGACTAAACAGGAACCCCAGATTCGTCTGTCAACACCCTCTGGACCACAGCTGGAGCCCGTTACCCAGAGTGCACTGGGGTCATCCCACACCACGACAGCATAACCCTGTAAACTCACCCCACCCTTACACATACACACACACACACACACACACATACACAAAGTCAGAGATGAATAAGAGTCAGAAGCTTTCCCGCTGATGTTTGCTCTGTTTTCTCTGCCTCGGTAACATGCTTTGTTTTTCTTATCATGCCAATAAAGCTGAATTAACTGAACAAAATTTTTCAGAAAATAATGAGCTGGACTCCAGCCACACAATATTGTCATGGCACCCAGCCATAGTGACGCACTGTGGAGCGCTGCGCATGTCGGGGCAGGTCCTCTCACCTTTCAGGTCTTACCGATGCTATTTACCTGTGCCAAAGAGCAGCCAATCTGTCAGGCATGAAATGCACTCAACATGCGCGCCTGAAAGAGGGAACAAAAACAAAAAGAAAAGAGCAACAGAGGGATAGAAGAAAAGAGGTGGGGGAGCAGGGTGAGATAGAGGGAGATATGAGGGGTGGGGGAAGAGAAGCGTGTCGCCTGTGTTCTGTGAGATTATGACAGAATATGGAAAAGATGCATAACCTGACAGGGCCCTGAACATTGCTGCAGTAAGGATCCAGAGACAGAAAGAGTGAGAGAGAGGTATGTCCAATCCCTTATCTACACCTGTCTCCCTCTGGGGGTGGGGGGGGGGGGGGGGTCATTGAACCTGGGTCTTTCTTGCTGTTAGGGTCACAGTGCAGAGAAACTCAAAGGGGAAGAAAAAAGGGGAAGATTATGGAGGAGAAGTGGGGAGAAAATGAGTTTGCCAACAATATACCCTTCCTCAGTCTCTCTCTCTCTTTTCTCTCTCTCTCTCTCTCTGGGTTGTGGGTGCTCTGACCGGCATGCTGTGTCATTGTTCTTGGACTTGTATTGTGGGGGATAACTGAACTCAGATGGGATTAAATATTTTTTTTTGTTTTTTAACTTCAGTGTGGTTGTTCTATTAAAGATTCTCAAAAGTCAGAAGTCTCCCCCTCTCTTTGCTCTTTGTTTTTTCCTCTCAGAAAGAGCAGCAGGATCAATCACTGGTGAAAGTGTGTGCTTATGTTGGTTTAACAGTGGTGTATGCTATGTGTGGGCATGGAAGATATGGGGGGGTGGGGTGGGGGAGGTAATCCACATCCATGAACATGAAAAAACAGCTTGCTTTCTGGGACACAGAATGCAAGTGGTGTCCCCCCCCAATTCGGAGTGTATCTGATCCCACAATCCTTTGCGTTGTGTATTAAGGTACAAGCAGCCTTTGAGTGGCTCAAAGGGTTATGCTGTCACTGGTGAAATCTGCTGTCTGACCTCCACAGCTGAGCTCAGACTGTTTACTGAGGGCTGAAACGTTACGCTGATAAGAGACGTGGAGATCGATTGGACCCTGTGATTACGCAGCCCAGGGACCCGTTCACCCTTCAGTCTCCAAACCAGCTCCAACATGCAAACATGCACACATGTACATACAGGCAGGCATACACACACACACACTCACATAAACACACACACACACACACTCTCTGACTCACACACACCCTCATAAACGTGCATGTGCACACATACATATACACTCTTTCTGACTAACACACACACTTCACAGGTGACATTTTTCTGTCCCTAGATCAGATTAGATGTGCTGAAATAATCTTTGAATACCCCTGCATCTGGCCC